CAATGATAAAGTAAAAGTCTTAAAAGTTTATATAGAAGAGGAAATAAGATGATAAAAACATGAGACAAAAGGCAACAAAATGAGACACGCTCACATGAGAATTCTCATTAGCAAGACTGGAAACCAGAGGGCAATGGAGAAGTGGTTTCAAAGGTGTGAAGTTGATTTTGATTTTGAAACCATTACTCAGCCAAATTATTACTCATGTGTGAGGTCAAGACCGACACATGTTTTTATACCTTTATTTTATTTATTTATTGTTAAATAGTGCTGAGGATCGAACCCAGGGGCCCGCACATGATAGGCAAGCATCAACCCCAGCCCCAAGACTGACACATTTTTGAACATGGAAGAACTCATAATGTTACCACCTAATGCAAGTACTAACACTAATTATTTGAGAAAAATCATGAAAGAAAAAATAATTTGCTAATCCAAATAGCTTAGGAGGGCTGAGGCAAGAGGATAGAAGGTTCATCAACTTTTAGCAAGGTTTTAAGCAACCTAGTGAAACCCAACCTAGTGAGACCAGTTCCAAAATAAAAAATAAAAAGGATGAAAATATAGTTTAGTGGTTAAGTGCCTCTGGTTTCAATGCTGGTACCAAACAAACAAATAACAACAACAAAAAGGAAAAAAAAAGAAAGAAAAAGAAAAAACAATTTGCAAGAAAGAGAATGACATGAAATTTTAAAAAATGTTACTTCTAAGGAGACCCTAGAAAGAAAGAAAGAAAGAAAGAAAGAAAGAGAGAGAGAGAAAAAGAAAAATGACAAGAAATCAAAGATAATCCACTGGATGATGATTTCTGAAACATCCTCCCTAAAGCAGCAGGGGGTTACAGTATCCAATATAGGACTTTTATATTCTGAGTCCAAGCACAATATTTTGTTAGCAGTAAGTACTTATATAATCACAATTCTGCAAAATTCTGTTTTTATTTTAGAGCAATCTGTAGACAAAATATAAATTATCTAATAATAGATGGAATATTACAAAACTGAGAGAGGGTAAATGAAAGAAAATTTATCAAATAGGACTAAATTTAGTATTTGAGTTACAATGGTAATCTCTGGAAGGAGAAGGGAGCCCAGAACATTGCTAAGGGGAGTTATTTATAAACAGTGGTAGTAAGGGAGGGTGTTTTTTCCCCCTTTCTTTCTTATGACTTTCTGTTTAATTTTTTTGTTTACCCCATAAAACTTCAATTATTTTAAAAGGGAAAAACAGGTCACTCTCATCAATAAAGGGTACAATAATTATAATATGAAATTTCACAATTTCAATGATAAAGTAAAAGTCTTAAAAGATTATATAAAAGAGGAAATAAGATGATAAAAACATGAGACAAAGAGCAACAAAATGAGACAGGCTCACATCAGAATTCTCATTAGCAAGACTGGAAATCAGAGGGCAATGGAGAAGTGGTTTCAAAGGAGTGAAGATTGAGATATCCAATAGAATATGGACTAAGTGGAGAAAATGAGATAGTATATGTAGTTGATAACATTAAAAATTATAAGTTAAAAAATAAACTTCAGAAATTACCATATATTATAAATTAATCCTACTCATATAAAACAATCTTATGAATGAGTGTGAATACATAAATATTGGTAAGATGTTTTCAGAATTTTAATAATAATTTACTCAAATGGCAAGAGTCTTTGAAGAAACTTCATTACTGTAAACTACATTTTTTTCTCCTTGGTGGTACTGAGGATCCAACTCATGGCCTCATGCATGCTAGGTATACGCTCTACCACTGAGCTACATCCTCAATCCTGTGAACTACATTTTTAATAAAAGATTTTTTAAAAAAATATTTGTTTTTTTAGAAGTAGTTGGACACAATACCTTTATTTTGTTTATTTTTATGTGGTGCTGAGGATCAAACCCAGGGCCTCACACATGCTAGATGAGAGCTCTACCATTGAGCCACAATCCCAGCCCCTAGTAAGAAGATTTTTAAACTTGGGTATTTTTAAATCTAAACTACATTTTTTTACTTTATTAATCTTTTTATGTATGACAGCAGAATGCATTACAATTCATACATATAGAGCACAATTTTTTATATCTCTGGTTGTATATAAAGTATGTTCACACCAATTCATGTCTTCATACATGTACTTTGGATAATGATGTCCATCACATTCCACCATCATTTCAATTTTTTTTTTTAAAGAGAGAGGGAGAGAGGGAGAGAGAGAGAGAATTTTTTTAATATTTATTTATTTAGTTACTTAGTTATTGGCGGATACAACATCTTTGTTTTGTATGTGGTGCTGAGGATCGAACCCAGGCCACATGCATGCCAGGAGAGCGCGCTACCGCTTGAGCCACATGCCCAGCCCCTCCACCATCATTTCTAACCTCATGGTCCCCTTCCCTTCCCCTCCCTCTCTTCTGCCCTATCTAGAGTTTGTCTATTCCTCCCATGCTCCCCCTCCTTACCCCACTATGAATCAGCCTCCTTATATCAGAAAAAACATTTGGCATTTGTTTTTTGGGGATTGGCTAACTTCACTTAGCATTATCTTCTCCAACTCCATCCATTTAGGCAAATGCCATGATTTTATTCTCTTTTACTGCTGAGTAACATTCCATTGTGTGTGTGTGTGTGTGTGTGTGTGTATATATATATATATATATATATATATATATATATATATACATATACCACATTTTTTTAATCCATTCATCAACTGAAGGTATCTAGGTTGGTTTCACAGTTTAGCTATTTGTGAACTGTGCTGCTACAAACATTGATGTGGCTGTGTTCCTGTAGTATGCTGTTTTTAAGTCCTTTGGGTATAAACCGAGGAGAGGGATAGCTAGGTCAAATAGTGGTTCCATTCCCAGTTCTCCAAGAAATCTCCATATTGCTTTCCATATTGGCTACACCAATTTGCAGTCCCATCAGCAATGTATGAGTGTACTTTTTCCTCACATCTTCGCCACACTTATTGTTGTTTGTATTCTTAATAGCTGCCATTCTGATTGGAGTGAGATGAAATCTTAGAATAGTTTTGATTTGCATTTTTCTAAATGCTAGTTATGATGAACATTTTTTTAAAAAATATTTATTTTTTAGTTCTTGGCGGACACAACATCTTTGTTGGTATATGGTGCTGAGGATCGAACCCGGGCCGCACGCATGCCAGGCGAGCGCGCTACCGCTTGAGCCACATCCCCAGCCCCATGATGAACATTTTTTCATACATTTGTTGAATGACTGTATGAGAAGTGTCTTTTCAGGTCAGTGACCCATTTATCGATAGGGTTATTTGTTTTTTTTGGTGTTTAGCTTTTTGAGTTCTTTATATATCCTAGAGACTAGTGCTCTATCTGATGTGTGTGGGGTAAAAATTTGTTCTCTATTCACCTCACAGATTGTTTCTTTTGCTGAGAAGAAACTTTTTAGTTTGAATCCATCTCATTTATTGATTCTTGATTTTAATTCATGTGCTATAGGAGTCTTATTAAGGAAGCTGGGGCCTAATTCCACATGATGAAGATTAGGGCCTACTTTTTATTCTATTAGGTGCAGCGTCTCTGGTTTAATTACTAAGTCCTTGATACATTTTGAGTTGAGTTTTGTGCATGGTGAGAAATAGGGGTTTAATTTCATTTTGTTGCATATGTATTTCCAGTTTTCCCAGCACCATTTGTTGAAGAGGTTATCTTTTCTCTAATGTATGTTTTTGGCACCTTTGTCTAATACAAGATAACTGTAATTGTGTGGGTTTGTCTCTGTGTCCTCTATTCTGTATCATTGGTCTACCAGTCTACCAGTCTTTGGTGCCAATATCATGCTGTTTTTGTAACTATTGCTCTGTAGTATAGTTTAAGGTCTGGTAAAGTGATGCCACCTGCTTCACTCTTCCTGCTAAGGATTGCTTTAGCTATTCTGGGTCTCTTATTTTTTCCAGATGAATTTCATGATTGTTTTTTCTATTTCTTTGAGGAATGTCATTGGGATTTTGATTGGAATTGCATTAAAATCTGTATAGTGCTTTTCGTAGTATAGTCATTTTGATAAAATATTAATTCTGCCTATCCAAGAGCAAGGTAGATCTTTCCATCTTCTAAGGTCTTCTTTAATTTCTTTCTCTAACATTCTGTAGTTTTCATTGTAGAGATCTTTCACCACTTTCATTAAATTGATTCCCGAGTATTTTATTTGTTTTGAGTCTATTGTAAATGGAGTAGTGTTCCTCATTTCCTTTTCAGAGGATTTGTCACTGATATACAGAAATGACTGTAATTTATGGATGTTGATTTTATATCCTGTTACTTCGCTGAATTCATTGATTAGTTCTAGAAGTTTTCTAGTGAAACTTTTTGTGTCTTCTAGGTATAGAATTATATCATCAGCAAATAAGTGCTAATTTAAGTTCTTCTTTTCCTATGCATTTCTTTTGTCTGTCTAATTGTTCTGGCCAGTACTTTAAGAACTATGTTAAATAGAAGTGAAAGAGGGCATCCCTGTCTTGTTCCAGTTTTTAGAGAGAATGCCTTCAATTTTTTCTCCACTTAGAATGACATTGGCCTGAGGCTTAACCTTTATGATGTTAAGATATGTTCCTGTTATCCCTAATTTTTCTAGTGCTAAACTATATTTTTATTAGCCATTTATCAGTCTGTAAGTATGCACTAATTAATGTTTTTGGTATTATTCTAAAGAGAATAAGATGTAATTTTAATAATGTTTAAAATATTAACATATTAATTATTCTAGCTGTTACCCAATCTAGTGAACTCCAGACACATTATTAGTCTCTAAACAATATTTTATATTTGGAAAAAACTAAAACTGAACCAAAATTGGGGACTTTTTGTATATAAAAAATTTTGAAAACATATAACATCATAAAAATCAAGTAAGTTGGATTTTTAGTATTAGAAAACTCTAAAAACTATTAACATTATTAACTGTCTATTTTTGCTTCAAAGAACATTAAAATATATCTAGTAAAAAAAAAATGTTTTCTTACCAGGCTATTTTCTTTCCAGGCTTCTGGAAACTTGGGTCTCTGTTTTTCCCTAGATACAAGAACCTGCATATCTTCAAAAGTAGGATGATTTCCAACTTCTGTCTGAAAAGCCATCTGATATTCTGGTACAGATTCACCTGTGTGTGTGTAGAAAAGAATGACAATATTTTCTATTACCATAAGTGAGAATAATAGGGGTATTTTTGATAGCAGGTAAGCAAAAGAAATTGTACATGTTAAAACCTTTCAAGTATTTAGAAATCCTGTTATAGGTTTAATGCTTTATTAATAAATACTGAGAATAGTCTCAAACATTTTTAAGAAATCAAATGGTAATTTCAATAACAAGAAGGTTTTTTTTTTTTAATTGGTGCTAGGGATGAAACTGAGGGCCTTGCACATGCTAAGAATGAAATCTACCACTGCGCTATACCTCTAGCTCTATACCTATACCTCTGGACAGTTTGTTTTTTTCTTAATTTTTTAGTTATAGATGGACACAATACATTTTATTTATTTATTTATTTATTTTTATGTGGTGTTGAGAACTGAATCCAGTGCCTCACATATGCCAGGAAAGTGATCTATCACTGAGCCCCAACACTAGCCCTTTCCTTTTTCTTTTTGAGTCAGGGTCTTGCTAAGTTGCCCACATTGGTCTTGAACTCTTGGACTCAGGCGATCCTGCTTCAACCTCCTGAGTGCTGAGATTACAAGTGAACACCACTGCACCTGACTTAATGAAAATGTTGATAAAATTAAATTTATTAGTAAACATACTGTGCCATACAAAAGACCCCTGGGACCAACATTTTCAAAATCAATGGTCTAGTGGAAATCTTGGCAGAGAACCAGGAGAACTAGACTCTTCCTGGATCCTCATCCCTGTCCCAGCCTATTGAAATGACCAAATAAATTAGAAGGAAGAACACCAGGATGGGGTTAGGGCAGTTAGGTTCTAATCTTGAGAGCATCTCTACTTCAGAAAACTCATTTAACCACACACACACACACACACACACACACACGGTAGTTCAGTGGTAGAGGACTCACCTTGTGTGTGTAAGGCACTGAGTTTGAGCCTTGGCACTGCATAAAAATAAACAAATAAAAATAAAGGTATTGTGTCCATATTCAATTAAAAGATATATATATTATAAAATATAAATATAAAATATAGGGCTGGGGATGTGGCTCAAGCGGTAGCATGCTCGCCTGGCATGTGTGCGGCCCAGGTTCGATCCTCATCACCACATACAAACAAAGATGTTGTGTCCGCCAAAAACTAAAAAATAAATATTAAAAAATTCTCTCTCTCTCTCTCTCTTTAAAAAAATATAAAATATAAAATGCCATCTGTGAACTGCAATATATTTTATATTTATAAAATATAGTATATATATAAAGTATATATATATATATTTAATTGTATATGGACACAATACCTTTATTTGTTTATTTTTATGGAGTGCCAAGGCTCAAATCCAGTGCCTTTCACATGCAAGGTGAGTACTCTACCACTGAGCTACAATCCCAGCCCCTTGTATTATGTTTTCAAAACAATCCATAAATTCCTTCAACAGTATTAAAAAATTACTGATTAATTCTATAATTTCTGTAATCTATACAGCAGAGCCCAGGTTATTAGAATATGATACTACCTATAAATACAAGTAATATTTTCTCATACTGTGAACTCTGAAGCAATACTTAGTTCTGATCAATTACCATTAACACTGAACTTGAGAGACAAATCTGTTAAATCATGCCAGTTAGCATATCATTTTTTCCTTGAAACTCATTATAAAACCTCAGTTCATGCCATCTGTGAACTACAATATATTTACTAGTATATAGTATATATGTCTCTTGAGATATACACAGAATAAATACATACACATATACTTCAAGTATTATTTATTAGCTGCTATTCTTCAAATGTTGGCTTAGTAAAATAATTAAAAATACACAATTCTACTTGTTTGTTTCAATTATGTTCAAATTTAACTAGAAAACTTGCTAAATGAGATTGATGTGCAATCTTGTATGAATGCAGTGACATTAAGAATTATAAAAGAAATCAAGTGTGGTGGTGCACACTTGTGAAACCTAGTTATTTGATAAGTTAAAGCAGGAAAACTGCAAACTGGAGGATAGACAACCTGGTAAGATAACCTGGTAAGACCCAGTCTTGAAATAAAATTAAAAAGGGTTGGGGATACATCGAAGATGTGGAATATACCTGGATTCAAGCCCCTGTACCAGAAAATTTTTTTTTAAATTAGCAAATAAATAAAAATCTACTAAATCTTCATGGTTATACATCTAATTGTTCAGTAGATACTTGTTTAGAGCTAACTTAATGTGAGCACAAAAATGAATGTTAATAACAAACTTGTCATGGGAGATAATAGACTCACTGGATTTCCTTAAAACTTTATAATCATTGAATTGCTCAAGGGAAGTTTTACAATCTCATTTTCTTTCAAAGTGTCCAGGACAGATCAAGAATTCAACATTATCCCATACCATTCCCTGCTTCTCACCCCATTTGCTAATTAGGTCTCTACCAGTTAGAGACTTTTTAGTTCCCTTCTCAAATTATACTTATTTGCTTTCTTCCTTTTACATTCTCTTATTCTTTCTTCCTTCCCTTTCCTTTATTTAAACTTTGTAGCATTTCACACTTCCTTTATAATAAGGACACATAATTCATTTATTTTACTAATATTTTATATAGAGAGCTTTATTAAACAATGTTTCCATTTAATAATAAAGTATGTACTGCATTTTGAGGTATATCATAAAAATTTAAAATGTCTTGTTAGAATTTTATAATTATTATATGCTATTCTCTAGGTTTATTAATGAATTTATGTGATCCTTTTTTCTTTCAATTTCCACCCCATTTCATTGTTAAAATTTTTTCAAAGTGCCTTGTGATTTCTTAACAATTTTCTTGCTATATCCCCTGTAATATGATTGTTATCTTCTCTATTTCACAGAAACTCCTCTAAAAAATGCCAATGACCTCCTCCCATTCAAATTAAAACACCATTCCTCAGTTCTATTTCATCTTGACTTTGAATTACACTTATTATCATAAATCTTAGTTCTTAAAGATTTCTAACATTGACTTCTAAAAGACACTACGATTTTTAAGTTTTCTTATTATTTTTTGATCATTTATCTTCTTAGTGGGGGAATGCCCCAATATCCAATCTTTAATAACCAATTTTTCTCTCTTCTCATTTGTTCTGTTTATAGGAGTACATGTACTCATAAATTCTCTCTCTCCCTCTCTCTCTCTCTCTCTCTCTCTCTCTCTCTCTCTCTCTCTCTGTGTCTCTCTGGTGCTGGGGAACCCATGCTAGGCAAGTACTCTACCACTGAATTACTTTAATCTTAATTTTCTCAATATCTTTTTTTTAAGGTCTTTAAAAATAAACTCTTCAGGAACTGCAGTTGTAGCTCAGTGGTACAGTGCTTGCCTAACATGTGTGAGGCCCTGGGTTCAATTCTCAGTATCACATAAAGAAAAATAAATAAAATAAAAGTCTTGTATCCATCTACAACCACACACACACACACACACTCAAAGTTAAAAATAAATAAATAAATAAATTCTCCAGTTGTTTATCAATACCTTGTCCAAACACATCCACAATTAAATTAACCTTCCAATATAAACCAAGATCTATTCCTAAACTTGTGGCTGCTATCCTCACTATTTCTCAGACCTCTGAATGCTTCTCAATTCTTCTAACAACTAATACAGCTTTCTCTGCATTTGCTCTCAGATGTACTACTCCTTCACCATTTCCATAGTGAGATTATAAGATATCTTAAAGCAATTCTCTTTTTATTCCTTTATTTTTACTTTTCACTATGGTAAAATATACATAAAATTTAGCATTTGAACCATTTTTTTAACCATATATAAGTGTATAGTTCTGTAGCATTAATTACATTCACACGGTTGTGCAAACATCGTCATCTACCTTTAGAACTAGTTCTATCTCCCTAAATTGAAACTCTCTCCCCATCAAACAATAAATCCCATTTCTTTTTTCAATTTTAATTATTTCTAGTTCTTTTCTATTTTAACCAATCCTACATATTTGTTAAAACAATTTTGTGTAACAAGACCTAATTGTCATTCCCCATCAAACATCTGATATTGCCTTTTTTAATGCTTATGTGGTGCTGGCCTTGCACATTCAAGGCAAGTCCCTTTACCACTGAACTACAACCTCAGCCCCTGATAGCACTCTTCATTATTTATAAGATCAAAAGCAATAGTCATTCTTTGATTATTGAAAAATTAGTAAAACTTTTTAAAATTATGTTGCTGGTGACAGTATACTAATACTGACGAAAGATCATTTTAGTCAGACATGCTTCTGAAACCAAAATACTAGATTAGAATGTTAAAAAAAAAAACCTGTGCCAAAATTCTAAAAATAGAATCCTTGTGATATTAAGACAATTATTGCTGTTTTCAGAAAAATGCCTCAATTGAGACTCTGTACTTCTAATTAACTAGAATGTACTTCTGGTGACTCCAGAAGCTGAAGCAGAAGGATCCTTAAGTTTGAAGTCTGCCTGGGCAAGTTAGTGAGACTCTGTGTCAAAAATATAAAGAGCTGGAAATATATTATATATATCTATTATAATATTATATCTATATCTATATGTGTGTATATATATATGTGTGTGTGTGTGTGTGTACATACACATACACACACATTTTTCTGGGTAGTAACTGGATGAATTATAGTTAATTTAAATAACCATTAATTCATTTCATTATCTATTTAGAATTATAGACTAATTTTTAATGCTTAATGCCTTTAAAGCAAAAACAACTCAACTTCATTATGAATTTGTTTTTATTAAACAGATCTACTTCATAAATTTGTCCAATGCTGGCTCTATTTTCTATGCTTTTCATGGTATTATTCCTATAAGACTACATATATCAAATCTTTTTGTATAGTATCCAGGAGAATGGGAATATACAGATTGATAAAGTTTTTATATGATAATAGTGATGATGTAAAATTCTAACAAGGGGAAAAAAGTTATAAATCACTTTGACTATTTCAAGTTAACCTCAAAGAAGCAATCATATTAAATGAATATTCCTTCACTGAAAGAAGGGAGAAGAAGAGAAGTTCAGAAAGACAGAGGGAAATGGAAAGAGAATACGGGAGGAGAAAATAAAGAAGAGAGGGAGGGAGGTGAAGATGTAGGGAAAAAAGGGGAGAATTAAAAAGAAAATGTGTTTACAAATAACCCATTGCATGGCACTAGAGCAGATTATGCTAAGTGAAGCTAGCCAATCCCTAAAAAACAAATGCCAAATGTCTTCTTTGATATAAGGAGAGCAACTAAGAACAGAGCAGGGAGGAAGAGCATGAGAAGAAGATTACCATTAAATAGGGACGAGAGGAGGAGGGGAAAGGGAGAAAGAAGGGAAATCGCATGGAAATGGAAGGAGACCCTCATCATTATACAAAATTATGTATAAGAGGAAGTGGGGGAAAGGAAAAAAAAACAAGGGAGAGAAATGAATTACAGTAGATGGGGTAGAGAGAGAAGATGGGAGGGGAGGGGAGAGGAGGGGGAATAGTAGAGGATAGGAAAGGCAGCAGAATACAACAGACACTAGTATGGAAAAACGTGGATGTGTAACCAATGTGATTCTGCAATCTGTATATGGGGAAAAAATGGGAGTTCATAACCCACTTGAATCAAATGTATGAAATATGATATGTCAAGAGCTATGTAATGTTTTGAACAACTAATAATTTTAAAAATCACATCACAAAATATTTAAAAAAAACAAATAACCCATTGCTTCTAATTCCTTATAAATGTCAATTCAAGAAACAAATGTAGCTTATCTCAATGTTCATAGAGTCCATCAGGAAAAAGACAACAGCTAAAGCAGAGATTAAAATAGAAAAACCATTACTGGCAATTAATTCAAATTGTACTCAGATGAAAACTTGTAGTCCTTTTTAAAACAAAACAAAACAAAACAAAACAAAAAAACAATGTCCTGATTCACATCTTCTAATAATGTCTCTGAACACTAGATGGCAATGAACTAAAGGTTTAAACAAAAGTAAAAAAGATGTTTCCACAAAAACTGAGTTATTTAATATATGTGAGACAGATATAATGGTTTCACTTCAAAATATACATTAATTTATGACAGCAGTTCTTACCTGGGAAGAGGTCTGTACATCTCATAAATATCTCCCAATAGATTAATCCAAGAGCATACATGTCTACTTGTTTCAAAGCTGATTCACAGTCCCTCAGATTCACAGCTCCTTCTAGCACTTCTGGTGCCATATATCTAATTGTGCCAACCTGATAAATTAGAGTGATACTTTCAGAAATAGAATGTAGTTTGTTATTTGACCCTAAGCATGTCACTGACATAAATAATTTATCTCAACTGTGCCCTTTTTGAACAATTGAACTGTGGTAAATTCATTTCAGCAAATGCTATTCATCAATCAGAAAGAATAAACTAGGAATTTCCATGTGTATCAATTTTAAAAACTTAAGGCATAGTAAGAAAATTATAAAACATTGTGTATATAATTTAATATATATATTTTTTAAAAAAAAATATATATATATTAGTTGTAGATGCACACAACAGCTCTATTTATTCCTTCATTTTTATGTGACGTGTAGGATCAAACCCAGTGCCTCACACCTGCAAGGCAGGTGCTCTACTGAGCTACAGTCCCAGCCCCCTAATATTTTTAAAAGTTCACAAAAATACATGTATGTATACATAGACATGTGTATGTGAATACAGAGAAAAGGGTAAGGAAGGATATGTTTAACATTGTAATAGTGACTGTCAGATGGTGAATGATCTTATATCAAAATTGGGAACTTTACTCTTGCTTCAAAAATCAATTCCTGCATACTCCTTAATGTTTGTCAAAATGACTTAGAATGACAATGATTTTCAAAATGAACTGATAATTTTAAAAGGTCTTTTATGCAATGTATTTGGTATTTCTTAATTTTATAATTCCTAATATTCTGTAACTGGAAGTTTATAGGGATATTTGTCCTGAACATAATTTCAAAGTATGTTAGTGTGATGTTTTTTGTATACATTCACCTCACTTATGGCTGCATTATCTTCTTCCCCTGGGCGCACCAGTCTGTTTCCAGTCAGTCTCATGGACAACCCAAAGTCACTAATAACACAGGTTCCATCATTTTTCACCAGGACATTTCTGCTGTTTAAATCTCGGTGGGAAATTGCAGGCTTATAATGATCTGTTTGGACAATTTCAAATATTTATTAATGCTTAAACAGAACTACTGAATATGAAATGAATATACAAGTAACAGAAATATACTTCTACATAAATATAGAAGATGTTATTTTTCTGCCCTTTAGTTTTCTAATTTAAAAAAAAGCATAAGAAACCAAAATTTTAACTCACTTATCACTATTTTATAATGTATGTTACCACACAACACTTGTTGCATGTATAGGTAATTAAGCAGTAAATATTCAGCTTAATCTAACAATAAACATGCTGATGCTTCTAATTCTAACACAAACTTGCTTTTTCTCTTCCTTTCTAGGGCAGCAAAAGGAGGCAATATAGAAAGGTATATCTGACAAATTGGCATAAACACTAAAAAAGTCAGCTTCTCTAAAACAAAAACAAAGATCAATAAAAAAACTAATGTGGTTCTAAAATTTTCATGTCTTAAGAGTGTTCTTTTTTTTAAAAAAAATTTTAAGTTGTTGATGTACCTTTTTATATATTTTTTTTAATATGTGGTGCTGAGGATCAAACTCAGTGCCTTACACATGCCAGGCAAGTGCTCTGCCACTGAGCTTCAGCCCCAGCCCCTTAGAGTGTTCTTCTATAGCTTAATAGGTGAAACCTGTGACAGCACATCCCGGTTCTGCCTGAGATTTCGCCATGTCTCTGAGCCCACCTCAGCTCTTCAAATCTAACTAGAAATAATTTACAATGGATCAAGAGAACAAGAAGAGAAGCTGGTATCTTCTAGAAAGTTATGAAAATTTGTTCTTTGATTTTACAGAAGTAAAGCAGTATTATACTGATTCCACTCTTAATTAACCTTAACACTACACCATAAGCTCCATGAAAGTAGAAAGAGAACATATGAAAGTAGAAAGAGAACATTTTATATCTGAACTTAAAAAGGCCTGGCACAGAGTAAACAGTAAATTCTTGCTGATTGAAAGAATGAAGCTAACCTAAGCCTGTCATCTAAAACATTATATTATTTTTTCTCTATATATAGGGAAACATTATATAAACCTTGTATTTAAAAAATATAGCTGTCACAATTTCTGAAGTTTAAAATATTTCCCTAGGTATATAGAGAAAAAGAACAATTAGAATCAAGTCAATAACAAACAATTATAATCAAGTCAATTATTGAATTTGGTATTTAGTATTTGCATTTAGATTTAGTATATAGACATATTACTTCCATTAGTAAGCATTCAAATGCAATTTATCAACAGTGAAATTACAGAGGATCATTTTGTTGATATAAAAACTAAATCTACAAAACATTTTCTTCTCTTTCTACTTATTTTTATTAGTGCATTATAGTTGTACATAATGATGGGATTTGTTGTTACATATTTGTACATACACACATTATAATTTGGCCAATATCACTCCCCAGCACTTCATCCTCCCTTCTCAACTCCCACCCCCTTGTCCCTTTTCTCTACTAATGTACCTTTGATTTTCATGGGATCCCCACCCACCACCTTTTTTTTCTTTTTTCCCTCTCTTGCTTCCATATGAGAGAAAACATGACTTTCTGAGTTTAGCTAATTTCATTTAACATAACGGTTTCTAGTTCCAACCATTTTTCTGCAAATGACATAGTTCCATTTTTCCTTTTTTTTTGAATTTTTTTATTTTCAACAAAACATTTTGAAGAAAAAATAGGAGTTAAATTTATTCATCTAAGAGTTGATTTCTTTCTCATTTTCTTCCTTTCCCACTTTCTGTTCCAGTCTCCCATAGCTTATATTTAACTTGGCTTCTACTCAATTCCTGTAATAGCCACGTCTCTTATACTCTGAAAAAAACTAAATAGATATAGTGGCATAATCTTGAGCTAATATTTATATAGGAAAATTTATGGAAACATTTGATGATGTATACTAATATCAAACCAATATTTAAAGATCTCATACTTCAGGGAAAACTAAGCTAATGAGGAAGAATATGTGACAAGTTATTTCCTGCTATTACTAAAAAGGAAAAAGAAAAGGTAGGGAAATGGAGTAAGAGAAAAAAGGCGGTGGGGAAGATAGAGGAAAAGAGAGAAGAGAGGACTCAGCACCAAAGCAAAGGGAAGAACTACAGAGTATTCTTTTCAGTTGACTTTCCCCTTCTAAGTTCCCCTAAGTATTCTTTTTAACCTTTTTGAGTGTATAAGCCAGGGGCAGAATATACAATGATTTTGCCTTGGGCATAATACTGCATTAGACAAATATGTCAAAGAAAAGTATAATATGATTTTAAATATATATGTGTGTATATATATATTTATATCTATTAATTATACTTTCAAATATTTTATAATTTATAAAACATGTTACAAAATATATTACAAAATACATATATATTTTTAAACCTGAACCAAAAAAATTTTCTGTGGATATTTAGACACATACATATACATATACATACATATATATATATATATATATATATATATACATACATACATATATATAGCAAAGGACCCAGAAGGATAAACACAAACTGCTTAGTAATTTTCTGGTGAAGTCTGAATAATTTATATATATTTTTGTATATTAGATTTTTGTTGGGCAACAAGCACACATTGCTATTATCATAAGGAAAAAATTCACAGGGAAAACTAATTACAAATAAACAGGTTCAACTCCTTCTTATTCTGAAGCAACAAATAACTGAAATAATAATAATAATAGTAGTAGTAGTAGTAGTATTTCTTACTAAGGAATTTATATTCTAAGCAAAAAAATTATATCTGAAGATACTGGGAAGAAGAAAATTCTCTGAAAGGACACTTTAAATGTTTTAAAATATTACTGTATACTTGGGAACACTTTTAAGCAATGAATTTAAATAGCTTTATGTTTATATTACATGAAGTTTTTAAAAAGTTTACTAGTGATAATATTAGCTAATGTTTGAGAGTAAAAGCTCTGTTTATTAATTTCAGCCAATGTTTGACTTGAAACCTTGCTGAATCATGCAAAGCTTGAAAGGGGAATTAGGATGGTATTTTAAGTTCTGTGCTAAGCCAGCTTTTAAAAGGGGTTGCAATATTTAATTGAGTAAGAGAACACACAGCCCAATGGTTAATGTGCTAAAGCACTAGAGTAAGTGCATCAAGTTGCTGACATAGACAATAACATAGGTCAATTCTGTACTCAGGAATATCAAGATGTCTAGATAAATGAACTAATAAATTATTCAAGAGAAATTATTTATATATGAAGCATTAGCTAGAAAAGATGATCTGTCTATTATACAATGGAACAAAGATCTAAGAAACTGATACATTAAAGTTCTCTTCATTAAAGAGGTCAGGAGATTGAAAAGCAATGTCAGGGTTACAGTTTGATAAGAAAATGTGCTAGGGGATGAAAGCTTAAGAAAGTACAGACACAGAATTATCACAGCCAAGCTAATTTAGGGGTTCCCGTGATGTGAGATGTATAGTGAAGTAAAGTGAAAAAGAAAACGTATTAAAAAGAGATGCTTTCAATAACTAGCAAAAATGTGCATAAAAGCTGAGGAAAACTGTAGTTGTGACAAAAAAATACAATACAGTTCTGAAACACTGGCAAAGACTGACATCTTGTCATGTACTCTCCCTTTCTTACTTAGTATTAGAAGCCAACTAATTATCTGAGGCAGCAATGCACTCAGTAAAACGCAAAAAACAAAAACAAAAATAATATTCCCAGCCTCTTTTGCAGCTAAGAGTGAACTAGTTCTGAGAAACAAAACATGAACATGACAGTGGAACTTTTGGAGACAGAAGGGAACAAATCCATTTATCTCCTCTTCCCTCCCCACCTTTTTTTCCCTACCTAGGATTCAGCATAACAATGAAATAACTTTGAAAATGAAAGCTACCTATTAAGGATGGTGTGCAAAGAAATATAAGTGCCTCAGGCCCTGATAGTACCATGGTGTTACCAAACCAATTCTGGATGGTTTGGTAGCTTTTTTTGTGTGTGTGTACGTGTGTGCGCGCGCTGGGGATTGAACCCAGGGCCTCATGTATGCTAAGCAAGCACTCTATCACTAAGCTGTATTCCCAGACCTTTAGATTTTTACATCAGAAAAAAACCATTTTATTGAAACTACTATTATTTCCACCTTCCATCCTCACAGATTTAGCCAAATCTAATTCTAGTTAAAGAAGCATGGATATATAAAAATACACATTAAGTATACTAAAGATCAACCTACTGAATAAAGACCTATGTGATAATAGAACAAAAGAAGTAATTACACATTTAATTCATTTAAATAAACAGAATAAGGAAAATATAGCCTAGCTAAGAAGTTCTTAACCCAAGGTCCACAACTCTTTTTTTTTTTTTGCTGTGCTGGGAATCAAAACCTAGGGCATTGTGCATCATGCCAGGCAAACACTCTACCACTAAGCTACATTACCAGCCCAAAAGAATATTTTTGTAAGTATTCTCCCATGGTTATTACTAGAGCTTTAATTAAATTCTTAATGGAATCCATGACTCCTCTAGATAGTCTTTAAGTTTTTTTCTTATTCTTTCATTTCAAATATTTCCTCCTGCTGAATAATTCAAAAAAATGGTTAATAATAAATGCCTAATAATACAAATCATACTTTGAAGATAGGATTACAATTTTGAACCCACATGTGTTATTCATCTTTTATTCATTATCTTACCTCCTCGTGGTAATTCTGTGTGAAGATAAGCCAGTCCTCTAGTCACAGAATGAGCCAGACGGCAAGAGCTTACCCAGTCACTTGTATGGAGACTCAAATACTTGCAAAGAGATCCCTTTACAGAGGAAGAAAATGTATTAAAAAATTGAAATAAATTTATTTTAACATTAAGAGGTAAGTTTGCAACCTTATTAAGGATTTGCATAGGCTAGGATTCCATGAAGATTTAATGAACCATTTTAGAGAATTTTGAAAGAAGTAGTAAGGCATTTCTATGTGAAGAAAGAAGAGAAAAGAATTTAAGCATCAATTTTTCATGTCTCATTCATACTTAAAATTATGAATGATTATTTCCTTTTAAATTCTTTGATCTATCAAATTAATTTGAAAAAAATCTGTTACTAATACAAAACTATTAATGGTTTATAATAGAAAACAGAAGAATTTTGTAAATATATATAATGTGTCCTCTGTATCTGCATGTTTTTCATTCATAATTTTGACCAACCCAGATAAAAAAATATTCAGGGGCTGTGGGGTACATCTCAGTGGTATCTAACATACACGAAGCTTTGAGTAGACCCCCAGCACCATAAAAAAGAAAAATTCAAAAAAAAATTGTATCTGTACTGAACATGTACATACTATTTTTTCTTGTCATTATTCTCTAAACAAAATATGAATAACAACTATTAACATGGCATTTATTGTGTAAGTAATCTAGAAATGATGTTCATGGGTTATATGTTAAAAAAAAAAACCTACTCATCATTTTATATAAGAGACTTGAACATCTGCAGTTTGGGTATGTTTACAGAGGGTAGAAGTGGTTCTAGAAACAATCCTCAGGATACTGAGGGGTACTCTCCGTATCTGTATTACTCAAAGTGCTTATCCACAAACCACTACCAGTCTCTGATGAGATAAGGAGCTTACACCAGAATGAATGACAATCAAAGCACTCCTTCCTTCACTGAGAAAACCCGGTTACAGAAAGAGAAAAGAATAGAAAAGAAGGGAGAGGGAGAGAATGAGAGAGGGAAATGAATAAACAGTATAATTAGTGATGTATTTGATTCAAATTATGGCACAGGATCTTTATCTCATTGCAGACCATTAATAATGAATTTGCGTACTGGCAATGCTTATTATGGTGGTCTTCCTGAAAGTCTGATTGACAGCTAGTTTCAATCATTGTTTATTTCTTCTAAAGAACTTACATTGGGATAATACTCCATCACAAGCAAATACTCCATGCGTCCATCTGCAGTGACTCTCTCATCTCCAACTATAAAGCGAGCAATGTTGTCATGTTCCATCAAAGGCACTCTGTAAATGTTTTTTTCGTTGATAAAATTCTGACGGTTTGCAAAAGAAAATACTTTTACAGCTACTGGACGTTCATCCAAGGAACCTTTATATACTGCTCCATATCGACCCCGGCCAATCAGCTGTGAAGTTGTTTTTAAAAAGGCAAAGTATTAATTCACATCAAAATTAAATAATCAAACTTAAATAATGAAGCACAAATTCATGTAGTATGCTACACATCTCTATTGCTAATAGTTTACTCCATTACCAAGAAACTACTGAAGTCTGTATCTGGTATGACTGAGGAAGTTCCCACCCAACCTAGCTGTCTCACAGAACAACTGGAAACTCTGGACAAAATAAAAACAAACAAACAAACAAACAAAATATCTAAAGGCACTGGAGAATAAGTAAAAGGAGGTAGACTCTAAAATACCTCAAGATTTAAAAGAGAAAAATGGCATAAGATGAGCCCCCTATTTTTGTTTTTTAGCTTGATGCAGGGTTCAATCAGCTCTATGCAGTAGAGTTACAATGACAAGGGAAAATCTATAATCTTTCTGGACCTAAGAACCAGAGAATGTAATTTGGGGCAACTATAGCTTCTGCAAAGTGCAGATAGAATCCTGAAAAGGATGAATGCGTGGGACAGACTCTAGCTAAAGATAAAATAACTGAACCAAGACTTGAGCTTCTGCCTAAGAGACAAGTTTATAGTATGTGTTACTTACTAAAATAAGTAAAAATCAGCACACTTTAGGAGAACATGATAGATATAGTGCAGGTCTCTACAATAAAATAGTCACAATATTTGGGAGGTAATAAAAAATTACTCAAAATACAAAGTACCAGCAAAATGTAACCTATTCTCTTCATTTTTGGTTTCTGGGGATTTTTCTCACTTTTTATTGAAATGGGTTGAGAATTTATCATTATTGATTTAAAAACATGTGTTATATATCATTATTTCCAGGTAAAAATTTCACATGCAGCCTGTTCTTCACAAAGGCTGTATCAAAATATAATTAAATTAGCAATGTTTGGTAAAGTTTCTTTCACTCAATCCTAGATAATGTACCTATTTTTTGCGGGGGGCGGGGGGTACCAGGGATGGAACTCAGGGGCACTCAACCACTGAGCCACATCCCCAGCCCTATTTTTTATTTTATTTAGAGACAGGGTCTCACTGAGTTGCTTAGAGCCTCGCCAGTTGCTAAGGCTAGCTTTGAACTCACAATCCTCCTGCTTCAGCCTCCAGAGCGATTGTGATTATAGATGTGCGCCAGCGTGCCCAGCATATTCCATGTTTTAATTGGTATTTCTTTCAGTCTAGTAAACTGGACATCTTACTACCTATTTATTAGCCACATTTACTTTTCTAAACTGTCAGTTCATCTCTTCTTACATTTTTATGCATCTTTTCTTTCAAATTGACTCATAACAGCTGTTTATCAATTTTCTTATGTATTGAAACATTTTTTCAAATTTGACTTTTTAACTTTCTTAACTATATTTTTATGCAAAAAGAAAATTATTAAAATGTTTTTATATAGTTAAATCTATCATATCTATTATTTAGTTTGGGGACCATAGTTATCAGGTCATCTCTAATAAAAATCATAAAACCACTCATCATATTAAGACTTTTAAAGTAGCTTCTGAGATATTACCAAATGAAACTTAGCAATAATTACAAAACTTGGTAATTATTATAACAGTCCACAATCTAAGAATAACCTTACCTCCAGCAGTTTCAGATTATCTAGATCAAGAGAGGGCTCTGACGCTGCTGCCTCCATCATGTTCATACTATGAAGACCTTGTTTACGGTCTCCTATAAGAACAGGAAAGAGCGTTACTAACATAGTTTTCTTAAAATGATATCTTTATTACACTTTTTACTGTTACAGTTTTTTAAAAGCTGCAGAAGGAATAGAATTATTCATCTATAAATGAAGATGAATAATAAACAACATGAAACTAAATTCTAAGTGATGCTCCCATAATGACTTACTTAAAGTTTAAAACCCTAAGAAACAGTGTAGAAACTTTCAAGATTTTATTAACGTTATTTAAATGAATGAGTGATTGATGATTTCCTAAACAACCCATTAAGCCTAAAGTATATTAATGGTATCCTTAATTTGCTTCAAAATAATTCAGTGGCATGGAAGTGGGTAGTGGGCGGGGATTTACATGAAACAATATTGCTCATATATGATAACTGTTGAAACTGGGTGACAGGTATTTTGTCTGAATTTGAAACTTTTCCAAAAACTGGGGAAATTTTTTGTTGAAGACAGAATGGGAGTTTCAGTAGCACAGAGTTGTTGTTTTTTTTTTTTTTTTAACATTCAGCATAGAGATTTAAATAAAAGAAAATAAATTCTGATTTAATAGCATGCTTAATAAATGATAGGACAAAAAGTGGTATTTTGTTTACCTGTCAACATTCTGTATCCGAAGCATAAGGCAACTATCAAAACAGCTAAGACAGAGACAGATGCCAAAGCAATGATTATTGTCTCATCTCGGTTAAATGAATGAGGTGGACCTAAAAGAAACAAATTTTAAAACACTGTCATCCTTTTTGTTTCTGGAGATACTGGGGATTGAACCCAAGGGCACTCTACCACTGAGCTACATCCCCAGTCTTTTGTATTTTTCATTTTGAAGACAGGCTCTCTGAGTTGTCGAGGCTGTCCTCAAACTTTTGATCCCCATGCTTCAGACTCCACAGTAGCTAGGATTAAAGGTATGCACCATTGTGCCCTTTTGTCATTCTTTTTAAATAAAAGTACTTTATTAAATATTGACAGACTGCTCTTTAGAAAGGCTGTATCAATAGATAAGCAAATCAGTTATGTTTTGCATGAAAGGAAATGAGAGAAAAATAATACATTAATCATGAAGATTATCTTTCCCCCCAGTACTATTGAACTCAGAATCTCACACACACCTTGAGTATATATCCAGCCCTTTTAAAAATTTTTCATATTGAGCCAGGGTCTTACTAAATTGCCCAGACTGGCCTTGATACAGATTATCTTAGACTTGAAAACACTGTAAAATCTGTTAGGTACGCTCCTAATTATTGATACATCTACATTGTGGAATAGCATAGACATGATAATATAATATTTTGGGGGGATAGTAAAATTTTTAAGAGTACAGCCTTTAGAATCAGACAACTCATTCTTTGGGATTCTGAAAATTTTTACTTTCAGTGCCTCCATTTCCTCATTTATAAAAACGTACCTTGTATGTCAATTGAGGCTTAGATGGGAGTCTACAAATGTCAAGCATATATTATCTATGCAATTAATGTTAACTATATTAATCAATATGACATGATTAATATTAATGAAAAGAATATGGCTTTGCAGGCAATTAAATATGAATTAAACATAAACTCACTTCTTTTTTTTAGTATTTTTTTTAGTTGTACATGGACACAATACCTTTATTGATTTATTTATGGGGTGCTGAGGATCAAACCCAGTGCCTCACACATGCCAGGCGAGAGCTCTCCCACTGAGCCACAACCCCAGTCCCCTTAAACTCATTTCTTTCACTTATTGTATAACCTTGAGAAAATTTTTTCATCTGTCTGAACATAAGTTTACTCACTTGCAGAATGGGGACACATATTTCTATATCAAGGGTTATAATTACAATGTAAACATGTTATGTGTTATTTTAATTCTGTGGGTCAGATCATATCTACAGCAAATCTCTTTAGGATAGATGTCCACAAACTAAAGCAGTGTGTCCAAAATAAAGCGAGTAGAACATAAAGATAAATGACTCTGAATTGTGTAGGTACAAAAAACTGAAAGTGTCTGGTATAAAGAAAAGAGAGAGAGAAAAAAAAACTTAGGAGAATTCAGCTGTCTCTTGTGGAAAAATGGAAGTTGTTTTGAATAGCTAGGGAGAATAATGAGATTCCATTAATGAACATTCAAGACAAGTCTATGGCACAGAATACAGAACTTATGACTTACAAATAGGGCTGTCTAAAATTAAATGAGTTACCTATGAAATAGCTGTTAATTATTTTACCAGAGGCATTCATAAAGTGTTTGGTGATACTCACTAGAGGCTGGGCTTAATGACTGCTAATTTCCTTATTTAATCTTTTCTTTTTTTTTTTTTTTTTTTGGTGAGGGGTTCCTGGAGATTGAACTCAGGAGCACTGAGCCACATCCCCATCCCTATTATTTATTTTATTTAGAGACTGAGTCTCACTGATTTGCTTAGTACCGTGCCATTGCTGAGGCCAGCTTTGAACTCATGATCCTCCTGCCTCAGCCTCCAGAGCTGCTAGGATTAGAGATGTGCACCACCACGCCCAGCTAATCATCCTTCATATTCAATAAAAATAATGCATACTATATTTTAAAACTTTCTTGATTTGGACATTATAATTATATGCCATATTTAAACTATAAGTTTCTATGGCAAAGTAAGAAGCCTCTATGGCAGAGAACTCCTCTGATGGGTATTTCTGTTCTAAATGAATTTATCTCAGTCAAATTAAGTACAGTTGCATATTTAAATGTCACAAAAATATTTCTAAAAAGACTCAAAGCACTGAAATATTTCAATTTGTTGAATATTTATTAAAAAAATTTAACATAAATTAATAAAACTTAAAATAATTTTAACATATATAGTAAGCTATATGCAGAAAAGCTACATATAAAAATTTACCTTACTATAATAGCGAGATACTAGCCTGGCTACAATTAAAAAAAGGAAAATACAAAAGTTTGTCAAGAATGAAGAGAAACTGGAACTATCATACATTGCTGGTGGAGATATGAAATGATATACATACATTAGAAAACAGTTTTGGGGGAAAAATGTTATACAGAATTTCCATTATACCTAACAATTCTACTCTCAGGCATATACCCAAAAGAACTCAAAACAGGTATTCAAACAAAAACTTTTACACAAATGTTCATATGTTGACAAACGAATAAACAAAATGTGGCATTATCCACACAAATGATATTCAAAAGATCACATGTTATGAAATATTTATATGAAATATTCAGAAAAGGCAAATCTGTGGAGACAAAAAAGCAGATTAGCAATTGCTAGCAATGGTGGAAAAAGAAAAAGGAAGGAACTGGTTATTAGATACAAGATTTTCCTTGTAAGGAGATGAAAATGTTTTGGAACTAAGTAAAGGTGAGAGTTGCAAAACACTGTGAATGTACAAAATGGCTCATTTTACTGTTGTGAGTTCTGTTATATGAATTTTACTTCAATAAAAAAGAAAAAACTCAACTTGTCAGGTGCTGTGGTGCACACCTATAATTCTAGCAGCTGGACAGGCTGAGGCAGGAGAATCTCGAGTTCAAAGCCAGCCTCAGCAACTTAGCTTTTTTTGGTACCAGGGATTGAATTCAGGGGCTAGTCAACCACTGAGCCACATCTACATTTTGTATTTTATTTAGAGACAGGCTTAGTGGTTAAATGCCTCTGGGGTAAATTCTCAGTACTAAAACAACAACAACAAATTAAATGAACTCATTTCAGAATTTGCCTAACCCAAGAGATATTTTCTTTTCTTTTTTTTTTTATTTTTTTATTAGTTGTTGATGAACCTTTATTTTATTTAATTATTCATATACAGTGCTGAGAATCAAACCCAATGCCTTACACATGTTAGGAAAATGCTCTATCACTGAGCCACGACCCCAGCCCAGAAATTTTCTTTTCTTTTTTTTTTCTTTTTCTTTTTTAGGGGAGGGGGAGGAGGTAGGGGGGGGAGGAAGGAGGGAGGGAGAGAGAAAATTTAATATTTATTATTTTTAGTTTTCTGCGGACACAACATCTTTATTTGTATTTGGTGCTGAGGATGGAACCCCATGCCGGGCACATGCCAGGCGAGTACGATACCGCTTGAGCCACATCCCCAGCCCAGAAATTTTATTTTCAATGCACTCAAACACACACAAAACTAACTAACACTTTAAGTAGTATACACAAATATTTCATGTGCTTACTGTTCATCTTTTCTTATTATTAAAACTGTCAAATACAACAGTTTCTCCTTATCCCTGGGGGATACATTACAAGATGCCTACTGAGTGCCTAAAATCTCTGATAGCACAGAACACTATACAGTTGGCTCTCTTTATTCATAGGGTATATTCAAAAGAGGTTCCAGAAATTTCCAAAAAGTAAAACTTCAATTTGCTAAACACCAACCACTACATTAAATCCACATAAATTAAGTAGTATATACACATACCCTGCTATGGCCTCCGACCATTTCACAGATATTCAGTCTTTCCCCAGCTCCTATGTGAGCATTGTTCATGTCAAGTCTTGTTAATTTACTCTAGCTAGACCAATGATGATGTGATTAACATGTGCATTCTATTTTTCTTGTCATTAGTCCCTAAAAATACAGTATAAGAACTATTCATATAGCATTTTCAGTGTATTACATAGTTTAAGTAATCTAGAAACAATTTCAAGTATACAGGAGACTGTGCACAAATTATATGCAAATAATTACACCATTTCATAGTACATATAGTCATGTTTGGGACATCTGTGAGGTGATCCTGAAAAATGACTATATAAGCTATGTTTTTTCCTATGTGTACACACCTATGGTAGAGTTTAATTCATAAATTAGGCACAGTAAGAGATAAACAATAACTGATAACAAAATATAATAGTTTACAACAATATGCCATAACAAAATTGCCAGCATCACTACTCTTTTGCTTTGGGACCATCATTAAGTTAAATAGGAGTTACTCAAACACCAGCACTGTGCTACTGCAACAGTCAATCTGGGACCTAGGATGGTTACTAAGTGACTACAGGCAGGTAGGAGCACACATACTGTGAATATGCTGGCCAAAAGGATGATTCATGTCTCACCTGGGATGGAGTGAGATGGTGTTAAATTTCATCACATTATTCAGACAGAATTTAAAACTTATGAACTGTTTATTTCTAGAATTTTCCATTTAGTATATTTGGACTATGGTTGACCACAGGCAACTAAAACCTTGCAAAATAAAACCATGGACAAAGGGGACTGTCATACCTTGTTTTTAATTTAACAAATTTTTTTAAGGAGGAAAATTAATGTTCTCAAAGTAAGAACAAAAAACTTGATATTTTGTTTTAAACACTGGCAAATAATGCTCATATTTTTGTTTTGGTTTTGCTTGTATGTACAAGGGATTGAACTTGGGGGTACTTGACCACTGAGCCACATTCCCAGCTCTATTTGTATTTTTTTTTAGAGACAGGGTCTCACTGAGTTGCTTAGTGCCCCACCTTTGCTGAGGCTGGCTTTGAACTTATGATTCTCTTCCTCAGCCTCTGGAGCTGGTAGGATTACAAGCATGTGCCACCATACTTGGCTCACATTTTATTTTATCAGGATCAAAAGAGAAAAAAGGTGGGAAATGGAAAATGGAGGACAAAAAGAAGAAACAGAAGTAACAAAAATAGTGCCATTTAAAGTAGAGAGATTCAAAGAAGGGAGAGGAAAGGGAAAGAAGATCACAAGGG